TTTATTATTTTACTCTGTCTAACACCAGACAATTTTACTTGTCAAGGGGAAAGCGCTGCCACTCAATGGGTTAATCAGACTATCTGCCCATGTGTCTAGTTAACTCATAGAGTTGGATTGCCAAATGTGCCCTACTTTATTATTTTACTCTGTCTAACACCAGACAATTTTACTTGTCAAGGGGAAAGCGCTGCCACTCAATGGGTTAATCAGACTATCTGCCCATGTGTCTAGTTAACTCATAGAGTTGGATTGCGCCCGAGTGCTCCCTACCTTATTATTTTACTCTGTTTATCGCCAGACGATTTTACTCTTCAAGGGGAGAACGCTGACGCTCAATGGGATAAATAGAATACATGATAGTGTTGGGAAAGCACGAAGAACAGCTAACCAAGATCGCGTGACTGCCAACTCTCATCCGGACTTAAAGCCCTGGGCAAACTAGGAAACATTGTTGTGGAAACATTTGTGATTCTCGATGTTTCCCTGTTTGCCCACCCGTGGAAACATTGTTGCGGAAACAAAATTTGCTTCCCGAGAAGCAAAAATGGTTTCTAGCAAATTCAGAAACATTTGATGTTTCCTTATATGTTTCTCACTAATGTTTCCTAGTGTTTGCCCACTCTGGGAAACATGGCGAAAAATTGGCAGGAAACAATGTTTCCGCAACAATGTTTCCTAGTTTGTCCAGGGCTTAAAAGGCGGAACTGGATGATTTGAAGTTTTGAAATAAAGCTAGATTCAAGCTTAAAGACAATTAAACGGCGTCGACTAGTATACCTCGATAGGCTCATTTAATATTACAATATATTTCAACACCATGCAAAATATTCCTCTAATCTCGTATTGGAAAAGCGGAAGCACGCAGGCAAACGGATCTAAAGTTTTCAATGGAAAAGTGCAATCCATGAATCTAGTCAAGAATCCACGAGTTCAGTTCATAAATCGTGCCATGCCTTCAACGTGCTTCGTGCGGCAAGTAATTTCGTGTTAAATAAATAATTAAGAACGTCCCCAGCTTGAGTTAATAAAATAGATGACTGATCATTGTTCAGCGTACAAGGGGGCGCACTTTTTTATTACAATCCAAACTATTTTGTGAAAAACTACGCTCTCGAAAAATGTGCTGTATCCCACTACAACCAAACGAACAACAAAAATGTACGAACGAAGAAAGACTTTAGCTTCTAAGTAAGTCTTTTCATAAAGTCAGATTTGCGAGATTTTGCTCGAATAAAGAAGATATTTTTAATCTTGGTTTGTCAGGTTTAATACACTTTGTTGGTTGCGTGCTAATTTATTGTTAATGAAAGTAAATATAGCGGTTAGGACGGAAACAATGCAGTTATTTTGAAACACTGTAGCAAACCGCTCCCCGACATCGCGGGTGAATATTTGATGTCAGATTTCGTATTTTTCATTAATACTTTCTTGGTTTCTAAACAGTTTCAAAGTTTTTACCAGAAATAATTACAGTATTGATAGCTGTAATAACACGTTTCAGAGAAAATTTTCTGTCCACCTCCTACGAATGCATCAGTCTCCAAAATCTCCATAGGCATAACACGGAATTACACTGCCTTGCACAGGAACTACGTGTTTCAAATTCGCCAACATGTAGTCGAATTATCTTCTTTGGCCTACCCTTGTATATGGAACTACATTTTGTTGTCAAACTAACTGTGTCTTTTGTCCAATTTTTTTCAGTTCCAACACAAAATTCATGTACAGTTGGGATGAAATAATAATTTAAAGTAGTGTCAGATTTAAAATCTTCACTTCACAATATCTTACACTGGGAACCAATTGAAACCACTCTTAAGAAAAGAGAAATGATAATGACATTTAAGGCCTTACAAGGCCAACTGCCAGAATGTATGACCAACTTCTTTAAAATTTGCCTAAATGATATGTATCCATTAAGAAGTAATAGACCCACATTTTAGAAATTTCCTGGGAGGACATGCCCCAGACCCCCGTAGCTAACTCGTGCCTGCGGTACTCGGCTCACACCTTCGGCGATCGCATACTATCCTGGGGGGGGGGGGGGGGGAAAAAGGGGCCCTTTGCGGGTT